GGCGGCGGCGTGCGGCAGAGGGCGGGCAGGGCTCACAGATCCTCTGTCCGGCTGTTCCGGGCCGTGGTGGGAGCATGTGCGCGGGTCCCGCTCCCTCCGCCCCCGGCTTCCTTTGGCCTCCAGCCCGGTCTTGGCGCCTCTGGCCTTGGGATTTTCCGTGTCTCCTGCCTGGAGCAGTGACTCATAAGACCTAGGGGATTTGCCCGGAATCCCCTTTTTTCAGGCCTTGACTGTGGACGCAGGCTCTGTGGGGACAGTGATATCCTGGACAGGACAGCTTAATGTCCTCTTGGGTGGTCACCGGGACCCTGCCTATTCTCCCCTGGAGGAAGTTCTCAAATCCGTTGAGCAGCACTGTCACCCACCGGTGGCCCTGTGCCGGCCCTCCGGGTCGGAGACCCACAGTCAGCCTGCACTGACACCAGGCGTTTGGGAATGGCACCAACCTGGGCTAGAAGAACCTCTGGCCTGTCGTGGGACACCAGGTCACTCCCAGTCCCACTCATGCACAGATACTACTCTCTGATCACCTCTCTCCTCTCCCCTGGCGAGGCCTGAGTCCCAGTGCAGAGCTGGCCTCCTCCAGACCTCGCACTCACCGTGGGTGTCATCCACAGGCCGAGCAGCCCAAAGTCCTGAGCGCCGTGGAGGACCGCATGGATGAGCTGGGTGCCAGCATCGCACAGTCCCGGCGCACGGTGGCCCTCATCAAGGTCAGACCCCCCAGCCCCCATCCCTGACCTCTCCACAGCGGGCTCCCAGCAGTGTGAGCTTTCAGCAGGGCACTGTCCATTCCAAGCAGGCCTGTGCTCAGGGCACTGCCTGACACATCGAGCACGAGCATCTTCCCTGACCTGGCCAGATCCAAGGCGTGCTGGGGCTGGCCCCTCTGTCCCCCAAGACGGCAGGTGGGAAGGTGGGGTCAGGGAAGGCTGGGGCCGGTGTCCAGGACTGTTCTTTGTCCCCCTCACCGCCCCCACTGTCGTCTTACGCAGAGTGCAGCAGTGGCCGAGCGGGAAAGGGTGAGCCGGCTCTTTGCTGAGGCTGCAGCCACCCTGCAGGGCTTCCAGACCCAGGTGCTGAGCTTCATTGAGGAGGGGGAGGCCGCCATGCTGGGCCGCTCCCAGGGTGACCTGCGGCGACAGGAGGAACAGCGCAGCCACCTGAGCCGGGCCCGCCACAATCTCAGTCAGGTCCCTGAGGCTGACTCAGTGAGCTTCCTGCAGGTGAGGGCCGCTCTGGGGGCCAGAAAGGGAACAGAGGGAGGGAAAGCGGGTGGTGGAGGGAAGAGGCGGCTGTGGGTGCCTGGCCTTCAGGGGCTGTGCCAGTTTCCTGGCAGAGCGGTCCCCATCCCCTGGACCGGAGGGGCTGCGGCCAGCAGAGCTTTAACGGAGCACTTGTCTGGCACAGGAGCTGCTGGCACTAAGGCTGGCCCTGGAGGAGGGGTGCAGCCCTGGGCCTGGCCCCCCGAGGGAGCTCAGCTTCACCAAGTCATCCCAAGCCGTCCGGGCGGTGAGAGACGTGCTGACCGAGGCCTGCACCAGCCAGTGGGAGCAGCTGCGGGGGCTGGGCAGTGACGAAGACGGGCTGCAGAAGCTGGGCTCGGAAGGTGGGCACCCCCCCAGATGACTCATCCTGCCCTAGTCTCCCTCACAGGCCCGAAGGCCTGGTGCCCATCCAGGAGTGGAGGAGGAAAACTGTGCCTGGCCCAGGGAGGGGCCCGAATCCTGCAGTGACTGGAGCCACCACCCTGTGGTGACCAGTCAGCCCCTTCGGCCCCACTCTCGATGGCAGAGGGGGCTTCTCCTAGCCCGCCCTCTAGCTTCAGAAGGGCTGAGGCCCGGGGAGCAGGTGGGACAAGGGGTAGAGCTCAGGCCCCAGGTATGCCTGCGAACACAGGGTGAACACAGGGTGCCACGTTTGGGTGTGTGCCTGTCGCCAAGCGGCTCAGGACTCTGGGTGGAAGTGGGGGAAGAGGGAACAGCTGTCCCAGGTTCTCCTCACTGTTTCCTCTTTTGTAGCCAATGCTGAGTCCCAGGACCCCGATAGCACCAACCACCTAGAGAGTGAAGCTCCCAGGGACTATTTCCTCAAGTGTAAGTGGACACCTGCGCTCTCACCCTGGGCCCTCCTACAGCCACCGGACTGGTCCCAGAAGCAGGTCCCGGCAGGCCCCTGGCATACAAGGGTTTGGGTTTTCCTTCCTAGTGTGTGGGGTGAGCCAGGTCAGTTCCTGGGTGGCCTCCAGTGGCACTGAGTTGTACCGGTTGCAAAGCGGGAGAGAGGCTGCTAGGTGGGGGTCGGCACCTAGGGGAGGGGCCGTGCCATCTGAGCCCGGCCCCGAGCCCTGCTTTTCTCTCCCGTCTGTGGGATCAGTTGCCTACATCGTGGACTTGGACAGCGACACGGCAGACAAGTTTCTGCAGCTGTTTGGAACCAAAGGTGTCAAGAGGGTGCTGTGTCCCATCAACTACCCCGAGTCGCCCACTCGCTTCACCCACTGTGAGCAGGTGCTGGGCGAGGGTGCCCTGGACCGGGGCACCTACTACTGGGAGGTGGAGATCATCGAAGGCTGGGTCAGCGTGGGGGTCATGGCCGAAGGCTTCTCCCCACAAGAGCCCTACGACCGGGGCCGGCTCGGCCGCAACGCCCACTCCTGCTGCCTGCAGTGGAATGGACGCAGCTTCTCCGTCTGGTTCCACGGGCTGGAGGCGCCCCTGCCCCACCCCTTCTCGCCCACCGTGGGCGTCTGCCTGGAATACGCCGACCGTGCCCTGGCTTTTTATGCTGTGCGGGACGGCAAGATGAGTCTTCTGCGGAGGCTGAAGGCCTCCCGGCCCCGCCGGGGTGGCGCCCCGGCCTCCCCCATCGACCCCTTCCAGAGCCGCCTGGACAGCCAGTTCGCCGGGCTCTTCACGCACAGGCTCAAGCCCGCCTTCTTCCTGGAGAGCGTGGATGCCCACCTGCAGATCGGGCCCCTCAAGAAGTCCTGCATATCCGTGCTGAAAAGGAGGTGATGCAGGGCGCACAGGCCTCCTCTTTCTTTTTTTTCTTCTGCTTTTTTTTTTTTTGACTCAGAGTCTCACTCTGATGCCCTGGCTGGAGAGCAGCGGCACACTCACGGTCACCGCAGCCTCGACCTGCTGGGCTCAGGTGATCCTTCCGCCTCAGCCTTCCAAGTAGCCGGAACCACAGGCATGCACCACCACACCCAGCTCATTTTTTGTAGAGATGAGGTCCTGCCAAATTGCCCAGGCTGGTCTCGAACCCTTGGACTCGGGCAATCCTCTCACCTCGGCCTCCCAAAATGCTGGGATTATAGGTGTGAGCCATCATGCCTGGCCAGGCCTCCTTTCAGTGGTTCGGCTCCCAGGAAGCTTGCTCCTCAAGGCCCTCATCTTGCCCCAGGGAAGGAAGGCGCCAGCCTGAGATTCCCACCCTCTCCCCCACCGCCTTCTCATTTCTAGAGGCTCCCACCTTCTATACACTTGGCCTTCCACCTCTCAGCCAGGAAGCCCACCAGACCCTATCCGCTGCAGACCTTGTTTCTGGGAGAGAGAATCACAGCTGGGGCAGATCCAGGCTACCCGGATCCCTTTTTCCCCAGGTTTCTAGAACAGTGCCTGGCATGTAGTAGGTGCTCAATAAAAACACTTGTTGAATGACCAAGTCATTCCAGCTCCTTTTCCATCCTCCTCGCCACCCACCAAGAATTCCTAGGACTTCCCAACTTTCAGCAGCTGGCCAAATGGGCAGGCAGGAGAGGGGAGCAGAGCCTCTGGTCCCAGGATTCCTGTTGGAAGGAGAGCCCTGGCCCAGGGGGAAGGGCTCAAACAGGGTGGCTGTCCTTTGGGGCACCTTCACTCTGGTTCCCAGCAGAGGTGGCTTCCCCTGCAGGGTCTAGCCCCACAGCTGTCATGGCTGCTTGAGTGTTTGCTTGGGATGTCTGGCTCCCACCAGCTATTTGCATCTGTGATGCTACAGCCTAGTTATGGACCTGTCTTTTGCTGTTCGTGCCAGGATTTTTTTTTTTTAGTTGGAGTCTGACTCCATTGCCCAGGCTGGAGTGCAGTGGCACAATCACGACCACCCCAGCATCAACCTGCTGGGCACTGGCGATCCTTCTACCTCAGCCTTCCAAGTAGCCGGAACTACAGGCGTGTGCTATCACGCCTGGCTAATTTTTTTGTATTTATTGTGGAGATGCAGTCTCGCCATGTTGCCCGGGCTGGTCTCAAACCTGCGGGCTCAGGCAATCCGCTGTCCTCAGCCTCCCAAATTGAGAGCCTCCCAATTACAAATTGAGCCACCGAGCCCAGCCTGTGCCAGGATTTTTATTGTTGTGTTGCCCAGGCTGGAATACAGTGGCACAATTCCAGCTCACTGCAGCCTCGACCTCCTAGACTTAAGTGAGTGATCCTCCTGTCTCAGCCTCCTGAGGAGGTGGGACTACAGGCATACACTACCACACCCAGCTAATTTTTGTATTTTTTCTAGAGATGAGGTCTCACTATTTTGCTCAGGTTGGCCTAGAACTTCTGGGTCCAAGTGATCCTTCTGCTTCAGCATCCCAAAGTGTTGGGACTACAGATGTGAGTCTGTACGCCAGAATTAAATGCAGACATCTCACCGCCAGGAGCAGAGCAGGACCCTTGGGCATGGACAAATGAGTTTGAGACCCAGGCTTCTTCCACACGCGGCTGAGGCACACCAGGGAGTGGCTGGAACTGAGAACATCTGCAATAAAGGGACCTATGTCCGGCTCTGGGAACACCTGGGCCCCGTGCCCCAGGAGAGCCTCTACTTCCCTTCCAGGGGGCCCAGTGCTGCCCCGAACCCCAGCCAGGCCTGGGATGTCCTGAGGCTCCAGGGCCAATGTGTCTCCAGGCCAGCTCCCTCTCCCAGGGTTCCATGTGGCCCAGGTGAACCCCAGCGAGGGGCGGCACCCAAAAGCAGGGGTCAGACAGAGACGCCTCTCAGACAGACCCCCCAGCTCAAGGTCAGACGGGACAACGAGTGAGTTATGCTGGCAGACAGCAAGGCCATACAAGTCCAGCCACGGCTGCCTCAGCAGCTAAAAATAGCCCCTCCCACAGAGGCTGCTTAGGCCCTAGCAGCCAGGATGTTGTTTTTCCGGGCGGGGCCTCCTTGCTCCTGGAGCTTTGTGTTCTCAACACGGTTCCCTTGGCAGCCACAGGTCCCCAGCTCACCCAGTGAGGGGGCTGGCAGGGGAGGGTGATCCCTCTGTGGCTGTCTGCTGTTCAGGAGAACCAGTAGGGGCTTTCTAGAGACCTTTCCCACCTGCTGTGAGCCTCCCACCTTGCTCGGGACCCTCCCACTCCTCGAGCCATCTCCTGTCTCATCTCCTCCCCCAGCCTGGCACTCCCCCTCCCCACACTCTCCCCTTGACAGGGAACCCTCTTGGTCCTCGACCCTGCAGGAAGCCCTGGCATGTCCTGGAACGTGAGCTAGACAGACCTGGGCTTCCTCAGTGGAATTTGGGCCTGACTGCTCATGTCTGTGGCCACAACCACAATCACTCAGCAAGTGTGCCACCTGAAGAGTGATTTCTAACCTCCAAAGACTTGCAGGAACTTTGTGAAACAAGCATCTGTGTCTCACATCCTAGCATCACAGCCTGACAGCCCAGAGCCAGGATTGGCCCACCCTGGGCTGCACAGAGAGCACAGGGCTGGCTCTCTAGATGCCAGGTTTTGGGCTCCTGAGTCTGGGGTGCTCTCCATGGCTCTACCCTTCCTCTGTGACTCTAGGATAATGCTAAAGCCGGGAGGAATGGAGTGTGTGTGTGTGTCTGTGTGCGTCTGCAAGTCTGTGTGCCTGTATGAATGTTGTTGTGTGATGTCTGCATTCATATACATGTGCTGTCTGTATGTCTGTGTGTCTGCCCGGATGTATGCCTATGTACGTGTGCATGTGACTCCAGTGCAATGACCTCCAGCAATGCTTCGAGAAGACCTTAGAGGAGGTACACTGAGGGGGAAACCAGGGGGGCCATCCCCTCACCATCATCACTGACTCTTTAATCAGAGAAGATTTTATCTGTTTTATTTGAAATTGCTTGAAAAAAGCTCTTAAAAAGAGAAAAACTAGAAAACCACCAATCTAGTCTTAACCTTCTTCCAGTACCATTTACAGATAAGGAAACTGAGGCACAGAGACACTAAGGAGCTGCCCAAGGTTATCCAGTTCAGGACGCTTTATACTCCACAGCTTGGGTGTGTCCTGTGCTTAGAAATGTCTAAACACAGCCAGGCACAGTGGCTCAAGCCTGTAATCCCAGCACTTCCAGAGGCCAAGGCAAGGTGAGAGGATGACCTGAGCCCAGGGGTTCATGACCAGCCTGGGCAATTTGGCGAGACCTCATCTCTACAGTAAATCAAAAAATCAGCTGGGCATAGTAGTGCGCACCTGTAGTTCCGGCTACTTGGAAGCTGAGGCAGAACAATTGTCGGAGCCCAGCGGGTCGACGCTGGGATGGCCTTGAGCACGCTACTGCACTCCAGCCTGGGCAACGGAGTGAGACTTCAACTCAAAAAAAAAAAAAAAACCAGAAATGTCTAAACACACACTCACACACATACATACACTTACACACTTACGCACACACTCACAGTCCTGCCTCCTAGCAATGTCGCCTGTGTAAGAGCTGCCCTAAGCCAGGCCCCAGTTCCCACGGTCACCAGCATGCTTGGCAGAGCTGCCCTAAGGTCTGTGGTCTCTAAAGCTCCCGCCAGAGCCCCCACCGGTCCCAGACAATGGTGGCAGGATGAGGGGTTTTCTGAGACTTCGGTGCTATTAGCTGGATCTGACTCCTCCAGCCAGGCAAGAAGCCAACCTCCACTTGAGCTTTGTTTCTGTGGGAAAATGAGCTCCAGAGGTCCGACCATTGACTGAGAAATGAACTCGGCATCACTCCCCTCTCGGGAGCTGCAAACTGCTGGGTCCTATGCCCTTCCCTGTTCCCACAGCCTCCCCTCACTCCAGAAGGAACGAGCCCCCAGCCCTCTTCCCTCTCTTCTCCTCTGCCCCCTCCTAAGGCCCAAGGAACACTCAGAAGTGGTCCCTTTCACCTCCCCTTCTCCCAGGCAGAGAGGGTGAGGCTGGGTTTGAGACTGTGGCTAAACCCAAGGCCGGCCAGGAAGATGGGGCTGAACCGGGGCGTGGCTGAGGCTTGCTGAGCCTGCTGCGTCTCCACTGGGCTGAAGCTTTTTTTTTGTTCCAGGGAGGAAAATACAGTAGTTCCCCCTTATCCATGGAGAATACGTTCCCAGGCCCCCAGTGGATGCCTGAAAGTGCAGATAGTACAGAACTCTTTATATTCTATGATTGTTCTTTTTAAAATAAAAATGGAGATAGGATCTTGCTATGTTGCCCAGGCTGGTCTCAAACTCCTGGCCTCAAGTAATCCTCCTGTCTCAGCCTCCCAAAGCGCTGGGATTATAGCCGTGAGCCACCATGCCCGGCCTACTATCATTTTTTAGATCTGAAAACCAAATGGCTATAAAGTGACTAATGGGCAGGCAGTGTCCTCAGTATAGAAGTGCTGGACAAAGGGATGATTCAACTCTCCAGCAGGCGGGATAGAGCAGGAAGACACAAGATTTCATCACACTACTCAGAACGGCATGTAATTTACAACTTATGAATTGTTTATTTCTGTAATTTTCCATTTAATATTTTCAGACTGCAGTGAACCATGGGTAACTGAAACCTCACAAAGCGAAACTGTGGCTAGCAGGGGACTGCTGTAGCACTGATCAGGGTCTCTGTCCCCTTCAGGCCCATACATGCGTCACACTTCCAACACTCAGCCCACACCCATTTGATGCCAACATTCACAATCTGGAAGATGAGGTCATTCCCTGTCTGTGCAGTCAGATCTGGGAGATGCAGAAGAACTTCAGGAGACCCTGGTGGTCCTCATGGACTCCACTTGGAATGGAGAGCCTCAGTGTCCTTCCCAAGTGCTCAGAGAAGGGGCCGGGGAAGGAGCACAGGTTCAGTGGTCAATGAAACC